GCCTCTATAAAAACAAAGATGGACACCAACAGGATTGTTTTTTTTTTGTTTTTTTTAATCACAGGGCGTTAAAACACAAGGTCTATTTCAAATAAATCAATGCTATCGAGATGGTTTTGTGAGATTAAGCCGTACAAACACGAAGGACGAGCGCTTTTTGGGTTATTGCTGTGGGAAAACTCTCTCTTTTGGGTCAGACTTTGCTGAACCCCGATGGTGGGCCTAACACTGTGTGGGTTTCTGGGCTTTCGTGGTTCGTTTGGCACCGGAGCATCAGCAGCTAACTGTAGAATTTCCGCACATGCCACTAAAAGACCGACATCTGGGGAGCCGAGTCACTGCCTTGGGCTCTTTGTTCTATCTTCACACAAACCATGACCAAAGCTTTTTCTCAGCAGAACATCGCATTGGAACCAGATGATTAATCCCGCTCCCTTTTCACCTGACTGTGGTTTTTTCGTGAGGCTGATTGTTGGGTTTCTGGTAGGGGGGAAGCTTTTTCTGGAGCATCACCTCAGATGTGGTGAAACCCTATTTTCTTTTCACCAGCCTTCTCCGCAACCCCCTTCTGAATTTTCCCCTCGCAAGATTTATTGCTTGTCTGAGATCTGAGTAAGTGGGAGGTCATCCTGTTTGGTGTCTTAGTGACTGTCTCTTTGTAAATCTCCTTTTTATGAGAATCAAAGCAAAGCTCTGTCTGAGCTTCATCCCTTCAGAAAGCCAACCAAAACATGAGAGAGGTTACGGGGGGCTGCAGTGATACGCGCACGCACGCACACACACGCACACACACACACGCGTGCACACACACACAAACACACCTACACACACACACACACACACACACGCACACACACAAAAGAGAAAAATCTTGCAAACAGACTGTGAGGAAGAGTGCTTTTATATCCTTGCATGCAGATTTTGTTCATATTGAGAAAATTCAAAAGCAGATTAATACCCAAAAATAACAACTAAACACAGGGAGTGCTCAAACTGAATTAAGATGCCCCTCAAAGCATAGAAAAAGGGCCTCCATAACCATTTCCTCAAGAAACACCAACACATTTTTCATCTCAAAAGCTATAGCTTTTAGTCTGTACAATAACCATGGAGGCTACACAAGTGCAGTTAATTTTTGTCTGGTTGGCTATCAGCATCAGAAGTTGTCAAGTGCGTGTTGTGTTTGAAGGAGGACAACGTTCAGCTCTTTCACAGCAGGGAGAAAACTCACAAAGTGTGCTACGCTACTAAACAACTAGACGAAACCGCTGCAATAAGTGTTCACAGTCCGGGCTTAAAGAGAAAACTGAATCAGCAATATCGCGATTCACCCCATCAGTCTTTGTTATTCGGTTCACTGTCAGCACACCTTGTTCTTACGCCTTGTTAGAACACAGTCTTGTCAAAGTGAAATTGCCTGTAAACTCCTCTTTCAACTTTAAAGCAGCCATTAAAAACCTAAAAAAAAGCTAAAAAACCCAGCCCTGCGTTCTTGTACGCTTGGGGAAACTGTACGGCTAAAAATCGGATTTATAAGCTCATCTAGGGTTTTTTCTGCGACTGTACAGTATATCTGAGTAAGACTAGCTAGAATCGTGCATGAATGGTTTTTATACCAAGGTATTTGCTTTGAGACCGTAAATCAAGACTGTTAAAGGCAACAGATTGGTACCGTCTGGACACCTGCAAACCTGGAATGAATACTATGCTCCATAAAGAGCGAGTGAGGTACCCTGACAACACCGAGATGAAGAGAGATCAGCAGCTGATGTGCCAAAATGCACGGGAAGTAAGACATTAATATGGATTTTTCACCGAATGCCAATGAACATTACCAAAAACTTGCTGCATAAAAATGCTGTCTAATATAATTCAGTTTGCAGTGCATGTATAAATACATTAGAAAGAAAACAATGGCCCTGCAGATCCAATCTTCATACACACTGATGGCATATCTTTGGTCATGCTCAAAGGAAATAGCCTCTTCTGGAAGCCCTGTCTCTGAGTAGCCCCAAGTGTTTATCTTTAAAGTGGACTAAATGTTTATAGATGTCAGAGAGGCAGAATTCTTTCCAGTGGAGCCTCCGTTTCTCGCTCTGTATCTCCTGCTGCCTCTGCTTTGCTTATGCCTAACTGCCTGGGTCTGTTTTATGATGGTTGCCCCCCACGCTGGATTTCAGATAGTCTTTATCTCAAACATAAACTTGGGCGGGATTTATGTTTTCCATTTCCAGTTCCTGATATTTATTACTGATAAAGTTAGTTGCAGAATGATGGTTAAAGTTCAAGGTAAACTACAAGATCACCAATCGGTTTCATGTAAACACATCATTGTTACAACTCTTCAAAATGATTTACAGAGCAAATAGTCTCTGTTTGTATCTAAAATGACACCAAAAACAGAGGACAACAAAAGGTAACTGGTAACTCTGTTTTTAAGTGTCCGAAGGTTCAGATGATAGCACAGCCAGGCGGGACATTTGGTTTGTTTTGTTAACCAAAATCTGGTGGAAATTAATCAACTTGGCAATTTTCAGCTAGGAACAACACTTTTCTCAGGTATCTGTAGACACTTTTCTCAATCATCTGCACAGGTCCATGAAACAATCTTTGAACACCTACCCAGACATTCATTTCTATTCTAGCTGTATTCATCTGTAGCAGCGATTCAGACTTTAGTGACCTGGGGACACTAATTGCAGTTGTTTAATGGTAAATATTAAGTGAAATGAGCTTTTTCTGAGCTTTAGCACACGTCCCAAATGTACATGTACCTATTCTGAGAGAATAACTATAATTAAGTGATCTTATTATAAATAAATACAGTTTTTTTAACAAAGCTATCAGTGGCACACATGCACTACAACTTGTGCTGTGTGTTCTGTGTATCTGTAGCTCGACTAGAATGCTCTCTTGGCCAGCATCTGTTGCTAAGTCACAGCACTACACAGTGAAACAATCCCCCTCCCTTTGTCTGGCGCGTTCACGTGCCCCTCAGTCGATCGCCTTCAGAACAGGACTCTGTGAAAAGATGTTGTCCTTCAGCCAAAGTTGCAGTTCGACCAAAAACTGTTTCACATGGCAGCGAGACCCCAGGAAGTGAGGCAAACCCATTAAAAAAGAAAAAAAAAAAAGCTCATCTGAGGTATTTATCTATGTTGACCTCATCAGAGACAGAATTAAGGATTGTTTTGGTTAATTTTCATTACCATCATTTTATAATTACATCCATGTTGTGATGTCTAACCATAAGCATAAGTGATGTTATTGCCTAAACCCAAAAGTCGATCTACAAAGCAGAGTTTTATCATTGACACGTGTTGACCTCAATCTTGTGTGACACAAATGTCTGTGCTGCTCTTGGCTGCACCATCAACCCCCCCCCCCCCCCCCTCCTCCCTCCTCCTCCTTATGAGGACGTTCTGGCTCCTTAAACAAAGGCTTTGAGATGACTACTGCTTTGAAGTAAGAACACACATATGAGTTGCGTTTCCTTTTTTTTTTTTGCCGCTTGACACTTCGGATGCACTTGTCTGAGGAATTTGTCACACAAATACTGCAGTGTGGTGGTCTTACACTGTGTGGCATGGCCAAAAACGCCCCGTCAGAAACGGGGTGTAGAAACTAAGACAAATTAAGGGCCTTCCATTTCTTGTGGGAAATCCGCCATCCGCAAGATGAAAGAATTCGAGCAGTCACGTCATATCAATGCGCTTCTTGTTTTATTAGAATCTTAAAAAAAACAAAAGAAAAAGCAAAATGAGAAAACCCAGAAAGAAACCACGTGTGGAAGAAAAATAAGTTAAAGACACGAGGAAGATTTGTGTCAAAAGAAAAACATTTAAAAACACGAGATGTGAGAGGCACGTGAGGGACATGTTATACTGTGTTAAAGCGATCACAATGAATTAAATATATACAATATCAAGACTTAAAAAAAAACAAAAAAAACATGCATGTTTCACATCATTCACAGGACTATTTGATAGAGGGCACACCAGCAGAGACGCATCACTGCTGTCACACTGAAAACAAGATAATGAACATCCAAAAATCCACTCACTTCAAATTAGGAAAGTAGTTTTGTTAGAGATATTTGTGAAATTAAGAATGACCTCCGTCCTCTCCACTACCTTTACAAAAAGCGACAATAAGACTGATGGCGACACTTATTTTCCCCTTCCTTCTCACAGATATTCTGCGAGAAACAAAGGCAAACGACACACAGCTCATTTCTCTTTCTCACCTCCTCTTTTACCCCATCTCTCAGAGGAAATCTTGGAATCTATTTAATTTGTTTTATGGCCTTGGCTGTGACCCGACATGTGAACTCACTGTAGTCGGGGAACAAAAATACGCGTTATTCCAACTTCTGTGACTTTCTCTGTTCTGAGGAGAGGCCGTAATGGGTCTGAAGTAGTGGATCCACACAACTCGAAACAGTATTACTACCATATGGTGTGGACTGTGGAGTTACAGTTTACAGTTTTTTTTCTTTTATTGGAAAAAAACAACAAAAAAATAGCTTCACATGGCTGTGTGCCCTGTCCGAAATGCACTCAGTGCCATGAGAAGTGTGGATGTGGCCCCTGCTTTTGTGAATGGGAATTCTTCAGCGTGGTGGTCAGTCCAGTGCAAGAGGCAGCCAGTTTCTTTAAATCCTCTGTGCCTCTAACCACTGTGTATGACTAGCTCCTTTGGGAGAATGACTTAAACGTGGTTTTTGGGGGTTCCCTCCCACTTTGGGGACTTTGCTATTGGTTACAACGAAGAAACTCTTGTCCCCGAGCACAGTGAAGCAGTCAAGACACAACAAGCACAGTTATAGGGTCAAATGATTGCGAGTGGAAAAAAGTGACAGAAAAAAAATCCAAAGTTTTCCCAAGTTTTGCAACATAAAAACTCTCAGGTGTGAATTGCATGTAGAACAAAAAATGTGAAGCTGTATAAATCCAGTCAGCACGAGTGTAATGATCAACTGTAGCATTATTAAACCATAAGCTGAATAATAAAAGACTATGCTTTGTGTGAATTTGCAAGATGCATACCTGTATTTTGTTTCTATGCAAAATTAAACTCCGTTGCACAGTTCATCACTGCAAACACACCAATCATCATTTTTAAGGCTTGAGCGGGATGTCAGACGTGTTATTGGCTTACTGATTGTTTAAAAAGCTGACAGCTGGAGTAGTTATTAACATCTCACTTACTCTTTCTTGTGATTGCTGCAACATGCACAGGCATGGAATTATTCTGCTACTAAAACTGTGCGTGCACTCTGGATGTGCACGCCGACTATGAGCTGAATGAGTTTGGCATTTTTTCTTGGTTGCAGAGTTCAATGTAAACACAAAAGGATGACAGATGAGTGCTTTCAGATTGAAAAGCAGTATGCGGGCGCAAGGTAATGTCAGCCTTTTACGGGTTTGGAGTTTTGGGACGCTCATCAGCCCTTAAGCCTCGGTCTGTCGACATACTTTAATATGCTCAATATACACAGCGTTTATCAAGTCTGTCGCTGCGGAAGAACTGATCTAGGATCACTGAAAATTAAAACCAATTTCCCAAAAGGCAAAAATGATCCAAGATCAGCAGTCCGACTTGACAGAGCCAGATCAGTGTTGGCCAAGTTACTCAGTAGCCCCATTCCCAGCCATGTCACAACCGTGCCAGTCTCTTCCTCTCAGACCAACTCCACCTTGGAGTTGGGGTAGACGGCCACCACGTCGTAGCCCTCCGGGGGCTGGACGCGAGCCATGGCGTGGGTCTCGCAGTACAGATTGTCCTCGATAAAGAAGTAACCCTTCTGCTTGAGGTTGATGCCACAGTCGTCGCACATGAAGCATTCGGGGTGGTAGAGCTTGTCCCGGGCTTTTACGATGGTGCCGCTGCAGAGAGGGGATGGGAGACACAGAGGGTTAAACGGGGGAAACTGGGGGAAAAAGAAATCGGGCGATGGTAAAACAGATGTGAGACGTCATTGTGATGTTGGAGGGACTGCGTGCCACCTCCTATTTTCAGTGTCTGTGTACGCAGAGGGACCAAAGTAGCCGCTGTTCTAGCCAGTTAGCCAACAAATACTGAGCATTAGCAGAGAGAAGTAAAATGAATAGCAGGCATAAGGAGCAATGAAATTATTAAATAAGTAAATGAATCCACTTTCTAATGTTTCAAAAAGATCTTTGTAAACTAGTGATAATTTGACAGGCTTTTCTTCCCCAATCGCTTAATGTTGAGCAACCATCTCTGACAAGAATATTTTCTAAGAAATATACATGAAACTCCTTATTAGTTATGCATTCCTGAATAGTTAGGGCTTGGCTATCGCAAAAAATTTAAATGCAGGAAAGGCTGATTTGAAAAAGCTGCGATCATAAGCAAATGGCAACATGCAGACGGCCAGAAAAGGACTCCTTGTTCCTGAGAGCAGGACTCAGGGAACTGACTTCATGTCAGAGGGCAGGCATTCAAATGAACACCTAAAACCAAGGGGAGAGATGATCGATCGCTTATGACTGACTCGCTGTTGTTTATTCAGCCTCATGAGTTCTATGCAAATCAGCCATAATCGCGTTTAATAGCCACGGTAACGCTGCCGGTATTTGAATGGGTCTCTGCATGTGTCGTATCAGTTTTCAAATGTATCAAAGGACTCATTCTGAGAGGTGTTAGAGGAAAGAACTTTACCGTCTCACCTGGGAATTGATGGGCACATGTTTATTCAGCAGGCGAAAAGGTTTAAAGGCTCACTGCTTTATGCCTTCACCCACTGACATCAGCTTTAAAGGGGCCTGAGTTGTTCATTCTTGGCCCTTGTTAAGAATTTACCTTCTGGACTGTGGATCCAGGGCAGCAAGTGCTCAGTTGGTCATAATCCTGCTTCTTTTTTTAAAACCCTTTCTCCTTCAGAGCTTACCCGTTTGCTGCCTGGAGTCCTGACACAGTGCCCCATACATGCTCTAAATGGTTATAAAATACTTGGAGGTCATGAGAGGCTTTTTGTGCCCTGCGAGTCCCCACAATGCACTCCTGTTCACAAGTAAAGCAAACCTATGACATCACCTCTTACCTGCAGCTGTTTTTATAGAGGGGGGGGATTACCGGTGCTTGTGGTTACTTTGGCAAAGGGCTCTGTGTCTCCAAGTCTAAGCACCTACATGTAAGAGCAGTGCTGAAGTTGGCTTTGATTAATGATTAAAATCATTTCTCAGAGCTCCTGGCTCGTTTGTGCGGGTGTGTTCGGTGTGAGTTAACCTCTCAGATCCGGATCAGGAAAGAGACCCTGCTTACTTTGCATAGTTCAATTGTTAAACTTTAATGACAACGGGCGGGGCGATAAAACGAGAGGCAGAAACGCAGTTTCCAGATGGAGCTGAGAAGCTTTTCAGCAGAAAGCCATTCATGCTCAATTCAAGTAATTCAAGTAATGAAACCAGGATGTGATAGGAAACTTACACAATGCCATTACAGCAGCACGTGCACTGGGGTAGCTTCTGGAGCCCGGGCGCAGGGGTGGGAATGGGGCTTCCGAGCTTTGGGATCGGAGACCTGACCGGAGACTTCAAGCTTCTCATTCTCTCCGTTGGTGACACACCTATATGAAGAAATAGAACCAGAGAATTAACAGAAGGACAGAACTTCCCAATTATACCAATGAAAATAGAACACAAGTAGAAAACAATAAATCTACAATTCACTTCAAGGTTTAGAGGAACTGGTGTATCGGCAACCCCTCTTTGGGCCTCAGGAGACACTTTCATTTATATGTGGGGTTATCTTTTGTTTTTCAAGGATGAGGAAGCTAAGTCACTTAAGAAAAAACACGTTGGTTTAAGGGAATGTTCATTGGTTAGTACTTGTGTTAGGAGGAAATTCCCCTGAATTCCAGGTAGAGTGAGTACAGAGAGGCTTGTCAGGTCCATATAAGGGTGGAAAAGTGATAGAAGATGGATTAATGCTCTGTACTCTGCTCTCCTTCAAGCTATTTCTCACTCTTTCTGACTCACAGGTACATGTTAAATTTGCTGGAAAAATCTGATTCATAGAAAGAACAGGAATAGTCTATATTTAGAGTTTGTGGAGACCTTTTTTTCCAGACTAAGGGGTCCACAATTTGAACTTTGGTTACCGTCAGGTTTAAATTACATAGTAAGGCTAAGGAAAAGAAAATAGAGCTTACGATTAAAACTGGCACTCACACCATCCTTTCTGGGGTGAGTTCAAACACGGTGTGCATGTTTTACATCTTAGTGCCGCAAAAAAATGAATCCATTTCCAAAAGAAATTTAATTATATATGTAATAAACTAAGTCTTTGTGTCCCACATCATTCTTGAGTCACATTCACTGACTCGCCCTCGTCTCCCCATTGCCTTGCCCTCGGCGTGACTCCTCTGTGTATGTGGCACCTTCTTGTGTGCTCCATTCAAGTGTCAAATTCTGTAGTGGCTTCTCCTGGTAGGTATTCATCGGCAAACCTGGACAGGCACCAGGCAGGGGGAAACGTCCCATGCTACCGGCTAATGGAGAATGATCCCACCATTTTGCTACAATCACATGAGGAATGTGAGCAAACGCGCAGGAGTCTTGATGAACTTTATCTTCCTGGTGGCTGTTGGTGAAGTGACAGTCGAGTGATGGAATCGTGGTGGTGGCTGACACAGGTAACAAGTTCACCACAGGTGCCTTGCTTTACCAGAAAGGCTAGGAGGATTCACTTAGTTATACTTGACTGGAGGCATGAAAGCGACACTGAATGCTGCATGTTTGCGGCACTCCCGACAGCAGTGAGACAGACAAGAGGACGACAGCTGCAGACTGCTTTGTGTGTGGCGTGCCAGAACAGTTGCGTTACTTTCTGAGGCTGGTTAATGAATGCCTTCCCACTTGCTCGGCCTCGCGTGCACGATCCGATTGGCCTGAACTTTGTCGACACAAACGACAGGATGCAGTTTTATCTCTTAATACACAGCTGAGCCGCACCGAGCCGTTACAGTTTGTCGCCAGCGGACACGGTTTGATATACAGTGACAGGTTGGCTCCTCGCAGCGGACATCTCACCCCATGTAGCATTCACAGCGCAGTTTGCGTTTTAAAGTGTGACTAATGTCGACCAGACCTGCTCTGAAACAGTCACACATCTTACAGCTCACTCCTATCTCGAAACCTGTAAAGTACTGAGTGAGAATGTGGGCTTTCATTTTATACAGCTACTTACAGACACTAGCAGAGGAATTCTTTAAAAAAATTTTTTTTACGATACAGGTTTTCTTTCCTGCTCTGGATGAATGTGCGTGTGGTTTCTGAAATGATTAATCTGTGTATGCGCATGTGGTGTAAGGAAATATTAAGGCGAAATAAAGCCAAATGTTTCTGAATGCATGTTAGAGCTTAGGGCTGAAGAACAAGAGGGGATTTTGGAGTTGGCGCATCTCTCACAGCTGCATTTTCAACCAGCTGTGAGTGCTCTTCCCTGCACTTGACTTCTCATTCACGGTGTTAGTGTCTGTGTTAGAATGGAAGATGATGGGCTCAGTGGCATTGCCCATCTTTCTGAATGAGGGCGCACTGAGATAAGTCCATGAAAGAGAGTTTAGAGGCAACGCAACCTGAGAGTAACTGTGACCCAAGTACCGCGCTTTCTAAAGAACAACACCTGCCCTGCCGATGCATGCCTTAGTATTCTGGGGTATTTTGTGGGGAGGAAGAACACAGCTCAGCTTGAAACTGAAAGGGATTTTCTTTTTTCTGTAGAATGCACAGAGGGTTTACAGATTCATGAATTCTGTGTTTATTTATTTTTCCAGCTGCTGAAAAGCTTTTTTTCCCCCTGAAAGTTTTTGTTAATCTAATAAGTGAAAACTTCTTCACATTTTTACAAGGTTCAATGTCAGAATTACTACTGGTAATTTGTGATGATCAGCATATCGCTTCATGATATGCGGCTGGGTTGTGCAGATGTTCCAGTCTTCAGTCTTTGATACTGTATCTTTAACTCCAGGTGCTGTTGTTGGTCCAGGTTTTGTTAAATCTTCTCCCTTTTAAAAAAAAAAGGCTGCTGTAATACTGCCTCACCCCACAATTCCCCGTTTGAGCCACATCCCTATCAATCTGCAGCAGGGCCTGTGGAGATTTGGGTAAACTGACACTCTTGTTTGCTTTAACTTTAAAAGCCCTTGAAAGTCAACATAGCCTCTGCAGGGGCTTTCACCTTCAAACGGGGACCAACCATAATGATTTAAAAGCCTGACAATCCGGCATGCATTCAAAAGAATGTTGATGTTTTTGAATGGCTCCATAAAGAGGTAACAAGGCAAATAACCAAAGATGTGCTACATTTGCCCCCCCCCCCTTCCAAGATTTCGTAGTCTCACACAGATTAAATGACACTTCCAAACACCAACAAAGCTTTTAACAGGATCCCAATGTCAACTTTGGGTGTCTCTGGGTTTCATCAGGGGCCTAACGTGTCAATCAACCTATCAGACTCCCGAGTTAAAAGACAATTGTCAGCAGACAACAGTGCTCTCTTTTAATCTCTTTAGTCCATCAGCGCTGGTAAGATTCTGGCCCTCCAGCTGTCTTCATCTGTCAATGGCATCTGTCTCCATTGTCAGCTTTTCCTTTCTTATTACTTTAGTGCTATGAGAAGTAATAAATTAGGGGAAATTGTGCGGTTTGGCTCTGCTCCAGGCCTCGCTGCGGGAGCTGTTTGCATTGTTCCTTCTGCAGGGATTAATCCTGACAGCTCACACATCAAAGCCAGAGTCAGAAATGTGATAACCAGGCTAAATAATAATCTTCTACGGGGAGAAACAAAAAAAAAAAGATCAAGCAAGCGATCTCTTCCTTCTGCAAGCACGAGGAAGAAACTGAAGCCACTTTTCAACTGAAAAACTGAACTGAAAAAGCACAACTCGGCGATTCTGATTTAAGCCTCATATTTCTGAAAATGTGGCATTTGGTGCAGAAGCAAAAGCAGCTGTTACAAAAAAAATAACATTTGTGAAATACTGACTACATAAGCATGCTTTCGTCATGAAAGCTAAAAATAAAACCCAGATGAGTGGAGTGAGTCGGGGGGTTTGTGGAGCTAGCCTTTAGGTTAGCTGCTTCCGATAGCAATTGGGACTGCTTTATACATGACTACAAATCAGGCTATTTAAAATGAGGTCCCTCCCAGAATGATCAAGCATGCAGATCTCAGGCCATGAGGAGGGGTGCGAGGTGGAACCCCATGCCCGCTTGACAAATCCTGCAGATAATGAGCCATTTTTCAAATAATGCAATTTTAAGTAAAAAAAAATTAAAATAAAAATGTCCTGATCAGAAAAATCTGGTTTTATAATGAGGTATTTCAGTAGAACAAGGCTTATATTAGTCCAAAGCTCTCAGAGTAAAGTTTGAAGAAACAGGTTTGTTTCTTTTATTTGAAACTGAGAAAAATACGTTTTTCTTACTTGTCTTTTTTACAGGACTGTGTGAAGATATTCAAATACCACAGTCAATATTCAACAAAAGCAGATACAGAAGATTCAGTCAAAGCTGGGAAAAACTCCAGTAAAAGCACCTCAGATTAAATAAATAGTGTCTCTAACAGAGGATGAGGGGTACAATCTTAAAAAAAGCATCAATCATACAACACTTGTGCTGTTAGCCCAATTCTGACTGAACATTCTGTCGGTTGGCTCATATTTCCCCCTCCCTTTAACTGTTGCCTCCCTTTAGCAGTAAACACAGAACCCGAATAGAGGGTTTTAGTTCCAGGGATTAGCCCTCCTCAACTCTGCTGCTGTCAGCATCACATGACTCCCTCTCAAATGCTTGAATTCAGAGTGGTCAGGCAGGAAAGCCATATTTCTCACTTTATTGCCCTTTGTGAAGTTGTTTTTGCAGTGAACCGTCTACGCAAAACTTCCCTCCCCCACTCATTCGTCCGTGTTCGAGCTATTCTAGAGCGCTTAATCTTTTTCCTGCTTCCTTTTGTCTTTGTCTGTTTGTCCTATTCTCTGTCAGTCTTTTCCCATCTGTACTTTTAACCTCACTGTCTTTGCTCTTCTATAAAAGGAAAACTATGCTACTAAGACAGGAGAGCGCATTAAGTAAGCGAGAGGCTGCCAAGGCCGGAATCACAGACTTCATATGCATAGGAGGAAGTATTTACTCCGTTATGTCCACTGTTTACATCTACTCTCTGTGGGAATTGCATGGATGCCCGTGGGTGTATTTAAGTGCTCACATTATAGCTTTTTTCTGCAGCATTATTTAGCATTATTAACCCATTTGAACCTGTGTGCATTACTTTCTCCACTGTCGCATATAAACACATCAATTTTTACCTCCATCCTCCGCCTGCAGGATCTCCTGAAGGTATTTGAAGGAGCCGGACTGTTTGGGCTCAGAAACCGGCTCCTCGTAGTCCTGCAGCATCTTGTAGACATCTGACTCTGGGTCGAAACCATTACGGCCCACAGGGGACTGTGTGGGAGGCTCCGGGCTGAAGAGCACAAAGAAAAACACAAGTCAGCATTCTTGCTAAGCCATCTGACTGATGATGACTTGGAGACAAGAGCCAAATAGCTAGAAATCCCTTTAATAATCACTGAGGACAACATAAAGTAACCTCTGAAGCATCCAAAATCCTCAGAGCAGAGATCAACAGATTAAGTTTCTTTAGTGGTGTAAAAAAAATGGTTGTTTAACTTTTTATGCTCGCTACCGTGTTTCATTCATCATTGTTGTGTTTTGGATACTATATTTAGGTTTTAGGCGTAGTCGTTGTGGGTTTTGCTATGAGGGAATAAATAAAGGGAGCAGAGTGCAGACGGACACCAGAATATCCCACTTTTTTTTTTAATAGTATGCGGACCACATCAGATGAATCCTTGGCACCAAAACACACAGCTGAACATACCAAAGGGGAACAAAGGTGTACAAGCACCATTCCGCACACATGAAGCATTAATCACGGCAGCTTTGCACTTTGCCCCTGCATGCTCGTCCATTCATCACATCCCTCCCAAGCCTTACTGGAAGGATCCACCTCACTTGACAGGTTTAAACTTTAAATCTGCGGCAAGGTGAGGAGCTGGACTGATGACAGATGTGTTCAAATCCAGACGTACTTAACTAATGTGTTTGTCTCCATACTCCGCTCCAGGCACAAGGTGTGTGCATACGTGAAAATATTATTTAAAAACACGATGGATTACTGTCAAATTGAGTGTAAAACAGAGGGAGTTGTCAATAATGAAGTGTAAGAGAAAGCCGGGACATGTAGATGGAATAAAAATGATTCCGAACTTCTTGTCCAGGGGAACGCTGAGAAAGCCAAAGATGATGTGCACCAGGAGACTAAGCACGTACACTTATTGCCCTCTTGAGGAGGGGGGGGACGCAGAACATCAGAGAGCTTTTCCAGTCCACATGGCTGTGCATGCAGGTGTGTCCAGAGGCATCCAAAGTGCGTCTGTGTCCGTATCTACAGTGTCTCCTGGGGTATTGGTGTGCAATGGGCCTGATCTGGGAAAATGTCATGGAGCGTTATTTTGGAAGACGATCAGTCTCAGTGGCTTGAGCTGAGAGCTGCAGCATGACTCAAGTTCACCGTTTTCTGTTCGGCCTCAAACGGGGATATTTCTGCTCTCAGTATTTTGTATTTGGGGGGGGGGGAGCTGCAAATAAAAAGAGCTCTGAATAGAGCCCACAAACTAAGAACTGGGGGGAAAAAAGCAGCAAATTCTATTATGTAAATCTAATTTTCTAACTAAATATGTACCCTTTTATTGGAGTTTGTGAAATTCTTTCGGAGAGGACGGGAAACCTGAACACAATAAGCCTCACAGAGAGCAGACACTAATCCACTTATCCTGTCAAAACTGTAAGTTGTGGCTGAGCGTAGGTCCTGTTTGTTTATGCTGCAGAGTTCGCACTGCAAAGCGCAGGCTTTAATCGTCCCACCTGTGTGTGGCACTGAGGCTGAGACCACCCATCTTGCTTGGCAGGGACCGGTCTCCGTTGCTGCCGTTGTGGGCGTAGAGCCCTGCCGGGTTGTTGTACTGAGCGTGCCCGGTTCCATTCCCGTAGGCGTAGCTGTGTCCGTTGTTGGGCCTGGAGTGTCCGTTGTTCAGGTGAGTGGGCTGAGGGGCCTGAGGGGCCTGAGGGGGCAGGGGCTCAGGGGTGTATGAAGGCTTACGACTGTAACTGCCATACCCGCTGGTGATGGGTCGAAAATTCTAAGAAAGGAAAAAAGAAATTCAAAGACAGGTTAGAGGCAAAAAATCCCACACAGAGAAATAAGGGAATTTCTGGGTAGATAAAGACAAAGACGCTAACAGGGAAAGACAGGTGTGTGTGTGTGTGTGTGTGTGTGGAGGGGGTCATGGATCTATTACAGCAGGTCCACAAATAAAGGAGCAGGTGTAAGACATCGAGCATGGTGGTGTGCCGACTCCAAAACCACATTCTCTAGAGGCGAGACGAATGAAGCTGTGAGACTTATTTCTGTTTTTCCCACTTCAATACCAAAGGTTATTAAAGGAAGGGGCGGGGGGGTAGGGGGTGGCTTTTAGTAGATTTCCAGCAGCTGCTTCTGTCAAAACAGTTTGTGGAACAAACACTGACTTTTTCTCCCCTGGCTACTGAGAGCTTTATGGATGCTGACAGGGCTGAGATAATTCGGCCTCTTGAATGAGCTTTTGCACGTTCCTCAACAGGTTTTCCGCTCTTTTCTTGGGCAGCGGTTTAGGGAGAACCGTTTGGAAAAACCTGGAGGGCTAATGCAGGACAGATGCATTACACAGTTACTTGACTCCGCCATATTCACAGTATGTGACCGTGTTTACGTCGGTGTCGACGCCCTCCTCCTACAGTCGCTGACATCATCGACCCACTCGGTGCTGACTTTCAGCTATCAGCACACTCGAGATATAAACGCTCGCTGGCAGCTTTTCGAGGCCGCCTCGATCGACAGATGGCTTTATTGCCGGGCTCTCGCTGATGTCACCACTTCTGATAGCGTTTCAGGGCTTTGAATTTCAGATAGCGAGCGGTTTGGAGCGGCTCGGGCGAGGCCGCGCATCATCCTGGCTTCAGACTATAAACACCTCGGGCGGGATGGAGCGCCTCGTTTCCGAGTTCAGCAAAAGGCAGCAATGGCGGGAGACAGGCTGTTTGAGCTGTGAACCACCGGAGCGTGCTCGGTGTGTGCGGCTGTATGGAGTCAGCCACAGGTGGTGGAGGCCTCTAAAGTCAGAACTACTTTCAGTCCAGCAGATGGATCTGCAGGATGTCATCCTGTCCTTGGCCCTAGCCTGGACCACACACACACACACACACACACACACACACGCGCACACACAATACTTTTAAATGAGTTGAACTCCCCTTGAGTTTCCAAATAGCCCTCTGTCCTTGTCCTGCATCAAGCAGTTAAAACCAATGTTTATTTTTAGGAAATGTAAAACCGTTCGATCTTTCCCAAACTCCCAGGTAATCAAGATGGATACACCCTGATACGCTGAACAAAGAGGGCTAAAGATAACAAGCACGGCAAAACGGGCTAAACCTGATTTGACATTTTCAGCTCTCCATGCACAGATCATGGACTTCATGACAAGTTCAACTAGATCTCCATGATTTTGTAAATCATCCCACAGTCTTACTTGTCTTACTTTAAAAGAGAGAGGATTCTGAAGAATTGAAGGGGAAATCTGATGTCCAAATTCAATTTAAACTTAAACTGTAAAACTGATAATGCTGAAATAGGTAAGCAGGAATTGGACTTGGGATGCGCACCAGGACATTTTTCATGTTTAACTCATTACCAACAATCTGTCCTTTCATCGCGAACACCTCCCCCTTTTTACGAAAAGAACATTTTTGTAACGTCTTGGTACAGCTTTAATTTCACATGATTTCACTTAGTGTCACTGCACTTTTATCTTCTCCTTTAATTATTTTCACATCCTTCATTCGCTTGAGAACTTAACTGAAGGTGAAGTTCTGAGAAAGCACTTCACTGTCCATACATGTCTTTCAGTCCTCTCATTTCTCAAATTTAGACAAGGGCTAAATCTCCTGATAGCAATCTGAACAATAACTGACGCCATCAGACAAGTTCACTCATGCCTGTGCTTACAGAATTAAGTACACAAGTGGAGGGAAATCCATGCTGGTGGATTTTGTTACATGCTCCAACTCTAGGTTAATTACCAAAAAAAAGTACATTTACAGTATGATACCAATCTAGACAAACCAGAGGGGAAGAAAACACCGGCCAATCCTTTGTTAACAGAAACACTGAAGCATTTTAAGGAGAAATAAAGGAAAATATCTCACTTTCCGTTCTTTAACTGTAAGAGAAGCAGCCCTGAAATAACAATAGAGTAAATTTCATGTGTGTGCAATTCCATACTATTTTTTTTTTTTTACATATAAAAGCTCTTTGAAGCATAATCTAAAATTCTAACAGTCGAAATGATGCTTTATGGGGATATAGACTGATTTTTTTCTACAACAAAATCACAAATTGTTTTAATGCGTATTTTACAAGTGTAAAAAAAAGGCCTCGTGGTTGAAAAGTCTTGAACAAAATCGTACAAACGGGTAAATGGTGCAAATGAAGACTCTAAGGTACCTTAATATTCTACAAAAAAAACTAAAACAACAAGCGTCCATCCTGTCTGAAGCACTGAAGCATGCAGACATTCTCCCCCTTACACACCTGTCTGATATGGCGTGACTCCATCTGTTTTCAGTGAACTCAACCCCCCCTCCTTTTGGCTTTTGCCCCCCCCCCTCCAAACACTCTTTCCCTCTCTGGCCTTGCACGTCTGGTCCACAGATATTTGCCTTCGATGGATGGTAGATTTATAAGGCAGCACATCTGGTGTTTGCCAAATAAAAACGCCACTTTGGTAACATTCAGGACCTGTAGGAGCTTTCAGGTTGCTATAACGATAGACTGGTTTAGTTGATTTTCAGATGACACGAATCAGCTGGGAGCCAACTGTCTCATTAAAAAGATTTATTCTTCCATTTCGGGACTGGACTGCGTATGCTTTTAATGGGAATTTTGTCAAAAAGTGACAGTAAGTGTAATCCTGTGAAAATCATATATCCTTCTTGTCTCCTTATGTCCATACGGAATATTTGACAGCAGCTTCAATCAGAAACTCAGGCCGAGAGGATAACTAAAACACCCAACCTGGTGAGGAAATCAATTTCCTCCCTTTTAGTTTCTCCTTTAGCCTGACTGCATTCCTGCTGGTTTAGAGGTAGAATAGCTAAAGACAGAAAAAGATGGGGAATAGAGCCAAGAGCAGAGGCTTTTTATAAGATCCAGCATTGTCCAGCCCTCATAAATCCAGCCGGCCATCTAATTTCACCATTCTTCAGCAGTAACCGAGCATGGCTAATGGTTCAGGAAGACTGGCAGTGCATAAAGAGGATGCACTTATAGAGAGAGCCATGAGGAATGATGGAAAAAGAATTTATGGGAATGGAAACGTACTATTGCATGCATGTGTATTCACATTTGACTGCACTTGTAGTCTGTGTTATGCTTAGCTGAGGTGCCTTGATCAAAGACACAGAGAGGTCCTCCATTCATTATCCGTTCTAAACGTTTCTGTGATTAATAACTGCCCGAGTGGGACGTGACAGCGCCTCAGTTCACAACTACAATTTGGCCACAAAGTGGTAGACAGATGAGGGGAGGAAAGGTTGAGGAAGGGGGGAAAAGGTGGAGTACCGTAATTGAAATCATATGTCTGTCTTTAATTGAGGACTGAGACCTTAGCCAGCTTTCCTCTATAGAAACCCATACAATTCATGACAATACACACACACATACACCACTTCTTCCTCTGCTGCCTCCTGCATGCTCTAATCCCTGTGGATATTCAAAATTAAGCTTTTCACATGGCGCTCTGCACCACTAACCAAACACAAACTGGCTCTTTACGGTTCTCTGGGCCTGGCACTGAGGTCCTCCCCAGGAGGGGAGACAGAGAGGCCAGAGGGAGCGACAGCAGACCTACGCTGCAGTAGGGAGGATTAAAGCGAGGAATGCTGAGCTCTAATGTATAAGAATATGATTTATATTACAAGTTTTTTATCATGAAAGTGTGACAATGTTGCTTACACATTGATCTTTGCTACATACTGAGCAGGAACCAAACGCTGAACAGTGCTTTGTGTTCTTTGGCACAGAGCCAGAAGCCCTTTTAAAACGGAATAGATAATGAAGTTTCCCTCGACAATATATGTGGATATTTTTAACCGGCTGCATGGTAAAATCGTTGCGGTATATAGCGGTATACACCCATGAGGACTAACATTTCATAATGTCTGCCCTACTTTACCGTAAGCTGTAGAACGTAAATCATAAATCATAACGAAAAGATAAATTATGGCTACAAGTTCTTCAAAGTATATATATTTGCTCTGGTAAAATGTTAATGTTTGGGTATGTTTGGGCAGCTAGACTGACTGCTAAGAGGACAATAATTCTCTCTCATTCAGTCAATTTTGGCTTCATCGGCATTTGTTTGTGTTCTACTAAAGCCCGGTTAAACAAAGGCTTCCCTTTGGTCTCTGTGTTCCCTTGGAGATGAGTACTGCCCTGACAGTTTGTTATGAGAAACTGGGAATCATTAAGGTAGCTGTAATGCTGCACTGGGCTGCATTATGCTCCTGATCAACCAGAAGCACAAACCCCCCCCACCAAAAGAAATTCTCAGTTCAGCGGGTTTATCTAAATGTGAAAACCTTGTAAACAATCCGGGTAAATACGCAGCTGTGGGTTATTTAATGGACAATGATCTTTATCACTTCACCAGCTACAGCGTTAGAACAAACTAAGTAGCAGTAAAGTAAAGGGGGGGGGGTGTGGGGGTAAGAGAAAAAAGTTGAAACTAGATCAGAAATAGATAAACACCAGAAACATATCGGAATAGTTGAATAATTCCGAACAGGTGCAGCGTCTGATAGTCAGCAGCGGTCCATCCACGGCGCAGCCAAGAGGAGGAGGAAACGCTCCGCTGAGTCACCCCAAGACTGATTCTGAGATTTCTGGGGATTACTGGCTGATTAGTGAACACAAACAACCAAATAAGAGGGGTCACAGGTCCATGAGCTTAAAGGCCTTCTTTGTGAGTGATTGCAGAGCTGTTAAAAAAACACCCTCCACCAAAGTCTTAATGGTCTCCGGGACCTTTAACACATTAACCTGAAAAATGCATGTACAGTGCTGTTAGGATCTTCAAGTCTACTTTCCCTTACAAAAACATGCTCATTTTACAACACTGAACTCTAACTTGCTTTAAAAAAAAAAAGAAAGAAAGAAATGCTTCTTAATGAGAGATTTTGGAAGGCAAAAGTCTTGTTCCATTCATAAAACAAATACGTGTCCTGCACGCATTTTGTTTTAAAAGCAAAAACTCGACTCCAAGCAGTGGATGAAATATGCTCCATAAGTCATGCAAGGACTCTATCTGTCAGCCCCTATTAATGTTAGCTTGGGGAATTGGCTCTGGTCTGCCAGCTCCGGGGCCGAGGCTGGAGGCTTCGGGTGACGTCTGATCCAGAGCTCTCTGCTTCCGCATTGTGAGGCCTCATTCTTTCCACAAGTCAGCATAATGCTCAGCCACAATAGCTATCACTGTAATATTGGGCAGGTTGCCAGAAATGGCATTCTGAAAGTGCCTGCCAAAGAAAAATGCTGTCGGACTTAAAACACTGACTGAATGCCGTTCCCGCTTACCTGAAACTGCCACCGTGAAATTTCCCCGAGGGACTTTTTTTCCCCGTAAACCTGGCATGTCAGTAGGTGGTGAGATTGTTTGACTGTTACATGAAAAACAAACAAAAAAGAAACACTGACTGTGAAATGGTAAATGCAGATGTAAGTTGAGATAAACGTGTAAGGGACCAGCAGTCACAATCGCTCAAACAATATGTCTCTCAAGTACTGCAGAGTGCTCCCAAAACTACTCAAATTTGCCTTTATGAATCATCACGTAATGGTAGAGAATTAAATCATGCTGCCTTTTGAGCTGGTGCTATCCTTTCATGCTATAAAAACTCATGTAATTCAAAGTCTACTCTTGTGTAAAAGTGATCCCAAGTGATGACAAGTGAGGCATTAGAAATTTGGGCAAGAAAATTGGGACTTTTGCAGCAGTTCTGGAGGAGAGTTTAATAAAGTGGTATGGAAGCTGTACTTAGGCTTTTAAAAATGTCACTTCTTCTTTCTTAGTTGTTCATAATAATGGGAGAGCTTTTCTACATTCCCCAATTTCATGGGGCTAACTTCTATCTTTGGGTTAGATGATGAAAAAAAAAAGATATAAAAAAACAAAACAAAAGGGGTGACACTGAATTGTCAAAGAATGATTAATCAATCTATTGTTGCCATAAAAACAAAAAACAGAGCACTATTTTAGTGAAAGCACAGCTCTAAATGCTTTTTTAAAAAGTAAGCTAAGGGTAAGGGAAACACCCAAACAAGAAACATCCTCTGTAAGTCAAAGCTTGGATGTCACAATTACACATGGATTTTACGCTGCCGTGGTTATGACACTTTCCTCACACTATCATTACCTCATCCCCGCCACCTCTCTCTATCACAATTATGTCTATTTCAGGAAGTTGAGCATGACGTCCGGTACGCTGTGGACGGCCTTGCCAAAATATGAGGACAGCTCCTTGGAAACACCCCATTTGCTCACTGCATTCTACCCCCTCGAGTAAAGAGAACAATCAGAAGGTCTCCACAGAAACGGCAATGCCACACAACAGCAAAGCGTTCATACGATCGCTTTTGGTAAGTAGCCAAAAATACAGCATTTCCTCCTCGATTTTTATGAGAATCTTCCGTGTTCCCAAGGTAAAAGGAAACACCTCATAGCCTCCATGTGTCAGTTCCTGCCCAGGAGCAAATTCCCACAAGTGAGGCTGGAATTTCCAACATCGCTGACTTAAGAGTTCATGAGTAAAAAGGACATGTTGAAAACAAAAAAAACTGAAGGATGTCAATCATTGGTGGTTTCCTTCTTCCTACCTCTCTGAAGCAGCATCAGAATGATACTCTACCCAACCGAGTGCCTTTGATTTCCACTCTCAAAGAGCTAGTAAATGCACCAAATCCTAATTTTCACGATCAGGGGACACGTTCTTTCAAGTCTCTCAGAGGGACTGTTTTTATCCTCCTCCAGCGATTGGAATCAGATCGTTTTTGCTTGCTCGGTCCACGCTGGCTGACACCTGGAAAAACTCTGGGCCAAATGTATCACATCACACAGTTTGGTTCAGCTAGTGTGAGCGGGGTCATGGGGCCGCATATTGTCTCCACAAAATCTCAGGAACAATCAGCATTGTGATGTTTTAAAGCTGTATCGCGGCGCAACAGGAAACAAAGAAAGATAGAGCTTGGCTATTTAATGTAACTCCGGGGAGCGGATGTTTCCTCCGTTCATGCAAGGAATAACCCACCTGAGCGCCACGCTGAAGCAGCCCTCGCTTGGTGGTTTCCAGCTGCCCGAGCTCACTTTGTTAAATGAGACGCCAGAGAGCATTTTAGGACTTAAGAGAATGAGAGAGGAAGGGCTGGATAAGATGTTCCAGAGATACTGCGAGAGGCAGAGGGGAGATTCAGGGAAAAGAAAGGATTGGCTACTCTCACATTACCGGCATGCGAAGCCTCTCCTGTCAGGCTTGTCTGTGTTTGCACAAACTGTTGTAGCAGGCCGTCGCTTTCACTCAGGTTTGGTATTTCCTTCTATTAATCAAAGCAAGACTCGAGCTGGTGCTGAGAATGTGCCTTCAAGGTTAGAATTAAGGAAGAAAAAAAAAAAAAAAGCTGTGCCTGGTAATGAAGTTCTTGTTCTTATCAGGTTACACCAACTTTTGTTGCATATCTCTATGTCGTTCATCAATCAGCCAAATGTACTTTGGATTTTGATCCAAGTTGTTTGATTTAAAACTGTATATGGATTATTTTAGTCTACTAAAATAAGATGATCTTTTCTGTATTCCAGAGTTTATGGTAGCCTGCACTGGCCAATTTTCCCAGGTTTTCCCCATTGTAAATCTTTACCTGTAGCCTCTAGTGAGAAAGCATGAAAGCTGATCAGCCAAAGAAGATATATAATATTCAGCAAGGTAATGGATGAGACAAATCGCTTTCGATTTTTCAAACAAAGCTACAGCACCACACGCATCTCCGTTCTGACTTCCCTACACAATGCTTGAAAAATGGACGTGTCTCACATGCCTTAGGCACAGTACGCTCATTGTCGTACTCTTAGGAGATGTGTGCACATGCTTACAACACAACACAACACATCTCCTATTCTTCCTGTGCTCGCAAACATGCTGGCCTGCCAGAAGTGGAAAACTTGGAAAAGATCATCTGTTGGAGATCATCATGCCTTGTATATCCTTTTGGCAGCGTTGCATCTGGAGAACAATCAAGACACTATTTCAGCACTGTTCCAGTGAACAGTGGGAAGCATTATCTCATTTCTAATCAAGCGAATGACAGTGTACATGTACTTACATATTGAGTTTTAGGCCCGTTTCCCTGGATTCTGTTTACCACACAAACAAGCTCCAGTCTCAGCTACCAAACTGTAGTTTGAGGTTATGACCTTGGATGTAATTGGCTGCTTTCGGGACGAGTGTCAAGGAATGTGAAAACCCTAATCCACAGCAGTGGGATTTTAAAGACCAAGCCAAGATCTGTTCAAGTTAGACCAAATATGTGCTACTGATTAATCACCGCGCATCAAAGACGGATTTTAGCACGTTCCTCGGTGGATATCTCTGAAACCTTTTCAAGGCCCTTACGACCCAGGCCGAGACAGACAGGCATTCGAGAAAACCGGTGTTCAAGATACAGTCATGTTCATTGATAGGTTCTGTCCCTCCGTCATGGGCTGGTGTGTCATGTTGAAAGTAGTTTTCCAGCACGTCAGCAGCGTGTGGAGTCGAAGAGGAGTTCTGAGCGCGCCCCCGGTCGACGGGGGTTTCATTCTGAAGAAACACCTGGGGACTTGTGCTTAGGGAAATCCAGAATAAACAACGGTTACCTGTGAGTCAGGCTCCATGTGAGGGCTTGTCTGGCCATCCTCGCTAACTGTTGGCGACCAAACTCTGTCTCCAGATCCTGATCTGAAAGACAACACCCATGAGAGAAAGAGAGAGAGAGAGAGTCAGATAAATCTTGTGCCATCCAACACCACACAGCACTGAAGCATGTCATCATTTCTGCTGAGAGGAGAGGATTCTTCTTCGCTGACACTTTTTCCACACAGGGCCCTCTGCATTAAATGCAATTATCTCAGAGTGAAAAAAAAACAAGCAAAAAGTGAAAGTAGACACTGCCTGCTTTAATACTCAGAGAACTACTGTAATCTGGGAAAATGACACTCTTGCTTTCACATAATATCTTTAAAGAAAAAAGTAATCGTGCTGGAGCCTGTATGTGTCAGTGTATTTTACATCTGGGATTGGATAAAGCTACTTACCCTTGTCCTTCCAGAAACTAAATGATAAAGTCATCATCATCATCATACCAAGCTTCCAGTTGTGTGAACTATCGCTGGAAAAACACACTGAATTCTGGGCCGCGGATATTTCAAAAATAGTGATAACAGAATTACTGGTATCTAAGGCTTTTCCCCTCCTGTTTAGATTAAACGTAATTGACTCCAGTTGCGTACACTTTTGAAAGACTACATAACTTACTGACTGGCAGAGGTGATAAAACCTATTATTTATAGCAGCGCTGAATGAGCCTGCTGTGGATACGAAAGCAGGTGTCAACATAACTCACATCTTCCTTTAAAGATGAGTAACATGAGAATTAAACGAGAATACAGTTGTTTTTTTCATGCAGGAAGGTTTTTGTTTGAATAAAACCAGATTTTTGAGAAATTCTTCTTTTTAGTTCATCTGAAATTTGGCAAAGCAGCATTGGCTGCTGAGAGGAAAAGCATCCGTCTTCCTAAAACCATGGCGACTTATCATGGCGAATGAGTGTGTGCATGCGTTTCCATGCGTTCCTTCATCTTTTGGCCCTTCCCCCCCATCCACACCTCCATCAACACTGGCTAAGCGTCAGCGTGCGCGTGCATTTGTCAGCCCTACAGCGGAGCGGGCGGGCGGGCGCCCAACGGGGTGATGTCACTGTGCAGCAGCTGGCACGGCATTGGCAAATCTGAGGCAATGCTTCAGATATGAGCCGAGGAGGTGTTGCTATCAAGGACGCTCTTCTGAGGCGCCGAGTGTCTGGCGGATGAGAAACAGCCACAGAAGCGTGTGGGATGATGATAGCTCCCTCCCTCCCGCCGGCTCCTCAGCAGCTGAGGGACAGAGGGCTGTGCTGTGCTGCCGGGCTGTTTGGTTGCACTGGTTACCGCACAAACAGCACCATTGAAAGGCCGACTGAAGCGGGCCGGTTGAGTTGACGCTTTAAACGTGCGAGGCAGGAACACAGAATTCACCATCCGTGGTAACGGAGCTTTCACAGTTATGCTGAAGAGGGATTTCAACCGCGCGCTCCAGCTGGAACAGAAGCAGGACTTAAATCCATCATTTCAGCTTTTAAGCTGCTCTCCCCCCGAAAAATCTAGAGTATATCAGTATGAACTACTTAATATCAACTTGACAAAAATACTCATATGAGATAGAATCAGCTAGACACAAGTTTTATTCAGGACACTGAGCTGCATAGTGATCCATGACTTCTTTTCCGTTTTGGTTTGCATCAGGTATAACCCAAGATCAACATCAACCTGATGATCGTTAGTGTAAGCCAACCTTTCATTCCTCCATCTTTTAACTTTGGAGTTTGTATGTGATCCAAGGACAAGTACAGCCCCAGGAAAAGAAAGCCAGGGCCAGAAACACCCACTGCCGCTGATTTATTAAAGAGATAACAATGATCTGAACGGCTGCAGGGGACTAGATGTTTTCGATTAAGATGTTATATCACGGCGAGAGGTTTTGTTTATTTTATGAAGACTGATAGTCACAGCTAAATCTGTGCACTCTTGTCTTTGCTTTCCCAACAGTTCTCCTCCGGTCGACCAAGATCGATTTTACACAACTGAAGGGAAAGTAAACACATTTGGGACAACCAAAAGGGTGAAACGAAAAGAAGAAATGTACACACTGAAGAGTTATTACAAATAGGGTGAACATTAAAACAGATGAAACCAAAAGAATGAAAAGAAAGAAGACGTAGAGATAAAAATAGAAAGGAAGAGGTCATCGTGATCATTTACCTCGCCTTTCCTTTGGTCATAGTTTCCTTTGTCTGACCTCCCTAACGCCAACTTTCATTTACTGATGAGGAGATCTGGCTTTTTTTCAAGTGTTGAGTGAATTTACTTTGGCTTCACAAGATCACAATGTCTGTGGAGGAGGATGACCCAGACAGATGAAAAACCCTAAAGATTAAGATGTGACTGATCATTGATCACTTCAGGATTTGCCGTTTCAATTTATCATTCCCTCAGAAAAAGTTTGTTTGAGAAAAGTTTTTTTCCCCCTTTTCGTTCAGACAATAGAGCAGTGAAGGTCTCAGTGGCTGACCACAATGGGGTCATTAAAAAGAAAAAGAAAAATCTGCACATGGGTGATGACAAGATCAATGAAAGAGGGGAAACCAACCTCTTGTGGAACACAGCCTCTCATCTGACATTGATGTTGCCTTCGTAGCCACTTAAAAAGGGAGACCTTGGGGGAGCGTGAGAGGAGCGATGAGAGGCAGGGAGGGGACGGCAGCGGTGTTAAAAGAACAGAGACACGAGTGGGCCGGTTCCTTTGGAGGTTTCTTTTCTGTTTTGGCCCCAGCTGGAGTCCTGCGCTCTTTTGGTCCCTCGCACAATTCCACGGCTGTGACTCACAGGTCGTGGAGTCAAGGCGAGACAGCGGGGGCAAATCCTGCACCAAAGGGATCTAAGCCCAGCTCCCTTCTTTGCCTGTTTTCTCAGATTCCGGCCAGATTTCTCAATGCGAGTTTCTTTCATTCTAGTTTCAGTTTCCAGATGATTAGATTTATATTCAGTATGCGCTCATGCTTGATGTATTATACATCAACTAAATCCAGGAGCTTAGTTTGATCCCCCTCCACTGCAGATCTAACTCTGCTCTTATGAAACCTAAGTATAAACTAGCCAGCAAAATCACTTGTTGAGGACTGTGTGGGGGAGCTCAAGAATCCAACAGAAATATTTGCCACCAACCTGTTGGGTGTATTTTTGGTCTGTTTAGATGTACTAGAACACAATACTTGGATGTTTGTTGTGACCCTCCGCAGAAATCCCTCTGCAGCCCTCTCAACAAACATAGGGAAGAACAAATTGGAATTTTGGGTGCCCTGTTTTCTATCAGTGGAAATGAGTTCCAGGGAAAACCCTCTGAGGTCTGTGGGTGATTTCTGCATAACAAGAACGTTGTTTTGGAAAGCTGCTGTTTGGTAAATACTAGCCAGTCATAAGAAGCATGAACTGAATTCAGTCGTGCCCAGTTGTTCTTCAGCCAAACCCAAAGTGATGACAAACCTAAAGACATGCGTGCTAAGAAATACGTCTTTGTACCACTTCAACCCATCTCTGAAGCACTAAACTACAAAATGCAATTTTAATAAGAACAAAAGATTGTCCATATTTGTCAGGATATTCTTTCGAAAACATCTGAGTAACGCGTGCGGCGCAGACATCGTGACTCATTTAACTTGCCACTCAAGTGCGATTCTTTCCAAACGCGCTGACCAGCGGTGGAAACACGCATCCCAACTGCCATCATCTGTCTCTGGGGTCTACAGCCACATGGCGCTCACTAACAAGCTCTGGCACAAAGCGGGGGACTTCAGGGAGGTGAAGGCACCATGAAAGAGGGATGGAAAGGAAAAAAGATGAGGAGGCAATATAAAAAGACATTTGCGGGGTGAGATCTGGGTTTGGAGAGGGGAACGGAGGCAGGGCACGCGGAGGTCAGGCAGGAAGAGATTGCGGGGAACGAGGAGGAGAGATGGAGGAGAGAAGGAGTGGTTTTTCTGCCACAGCTGCTTCTTGTGTGTTCGCGAGGTCTGAGAATATACAAACGGCCAGGGAGGACACGTGTGAATGTGGTTTCCGAGGCGTCTGTCCAGGTGGACCAAAGTGGATACAAAGCGCGGATGAGTTGTCAGCCATGTTTTCTCCTCGGTGAAACTACACAGATCTGTCCAAACACAGACACCATGAGCTCAGGGCGAGCGTGGCAGGCCTGCTGCAGAAAATGTTGCGAGTCATTCTGCCCATGTGCTGGTGTCTTCATTTTTCCTATTTTTTTTCTATTCTTTTCCCCCCATCCCATTTAGTTGTGCGACATCATATTCCTACACGTCGGCGGGGAATGTGTCAACTTTACAAAATGGTCCAAGGTGTAGGAAAATCAATGTCCTCAGAGCTCTCACTGGTTTTTTTAGAGTCTTATCTCTAAAAGAACCACGAGCAAAGTCTCTCAGCGTGTTAACAGTGACTAGTAAAGGTGGAAATATAGTAAGATCAAGCTATCATTTAACCAAGTCCACATTCAACAAAGAAATTCAATGAAAAGACAAAAAAAAGTCATGTTTCTTTAAAGCCATGTTCACTAATCTGCAGAACTAAAAAGTATCCAAGTAAATTGTGCCACACTAAATTTATAAATGGCCAGCTCTTTAAGTTGACTACAGAACTATCCTCCATAGAAATGTCGCACCAAATGAAGCCTTCTATGCAACTGCCATTAATGACAATGGAAGAAAGAAAGAGTTGCACACAGTTTTTAAAATAAAAATCCAATCAATAGAGCCAAAGCCATCAGAAGCCCCGACAGTTTGGAAGGTTTGGAAAGATCGAGGTGCCAAAAAGGATAGGTAGTGTTTCATAAGAGGACAAAATGTATGGAAATGGGACAGTCACGTCATCCCCGAGGCCGTGTGCACTAAAGGCAACTGTTGCTGATTCTCAAATGTCAGTTTAGTTTCCTTTTAACAATGGCTCACCTTGGTTAAAAACTACAGTTCAGAATCATATAAGCACATTTCACTAAGTTCATCTCATATTAGGGAACTCTATTATTCATTTACCCAGATTAATAAGAGTGACTCATCTAACCCCGAAAGAACAATCCAACTAACAATAACACTGTCAACTAAGACATTTGCTACATTGGACCAACGTAAATACTCAACATTTCTGGACCGGGTCACTCTATTAATCATTGTAGGACGCACTAACATCTTCACAACATTTAACAGCTGGTTGGAGTTTTCCGAGTGTGCTGACAATTGTTTGAGAAGACGTACGACAGGACAATGTGAAATCAAAACAGACCAGACGCAGCAGTAAATCACAAACAAAACAGATTTTGGATTGCACCATTTGAGAAAGGAATTTAATGTCAGCATTAAAAAAAATAGAGAAAAAAAGAAGAAAAACCCTACACAAATAGTTCAAGCTGCAGGCCCCATTTTTCACGATGCTTCATTCTGTCTTTCTCGGCCTTAATGACTTTCCTGGGGCACATAACCAGAAACCTCCCAGATACCGAATGCCCTTAAACATGCTCCATAATAGAAAATATGAAAAAAGTGGGTTATGAAACTCATAAATGTTACAAAGGAACATTCTTGTGTTACACAAGACCTCAAGCTCAGATGCATCCAGTGTACTGTAATTTTGGTTCACAGCAGACGTGTAGACTCATATATTTGTCGATGGGCTGCCGCACAAAATTACAGGTCTCCCGTTTCTTGTGACTGTTGGGAGTATTTTATGACGCAGTCTTTTAATGAGGGCTGAGAACTGCTGTCCTCTGAAATATTATTTTTCTAGCGAGTCAGCATGGGTTCCTCCAGTCACTCCCTTTTTTCTTTTTCTTTTTTTTAAACACACCAGAATCAATTAAATGAAGCTCACTTTCTTTCTGTGGGAGACAGCTGAGGAGGTCCCAAATAAAACTTCAGTCCCGAACGTCGCAACTCTATGAATGAATAACACATGAACATGACAAAGCCATTGCTAGGATGAATAATAGCTCGTGGCCTGAGTCTCATTCAGCAACCAGAGATTGTACTAACATGTGGCTGCCGTTTCACAGCTCATTATTTCGGGGAGAGCGTTTTCAGGGTGTTCGTTCTGCTGAAATCCAACATTTGTGTTTTATTTTTTGGGGCTTCGACTTCTGTGGGTTTCATAGTGGCAGAGGCTGAAACCCTTCTTCTCCTGTTCATGAATTTGATCTAAATTTGGCTTCAGTTTGTTTATCTGAGCAGTCAACGGTGACTGAGCGGTGTTACACTTTATTTCCTGCTTAGTGTTTTCCCCATCACATACATTTAACATATGCATGACTAATGGTTGAAAAGAATCACTGGATAACAGCTACAGACCTTCCTAATGCGTTGTGATAAATCATGTCTGATATGTTAAGAAAAAAGTAAGAAAGAAAAAGTGATGGTTTGTATCACAAAAAAAAGAAAGAAAAAAAACTAAACTGGTGGTGTATTCTGAGCTGGAGAAACTAGGCTTCCTTGTGGTGTCAGTTTAATTGAATTTCCAGCAACGCTTGGCTGTAAAACATTCTGGGCAGGATAGAGCCATGTGGCTCCCTCACTTGCTCTCCCTGATTCACTCCACTTCGCTGTAACTTTCCCATCACTGGCATGGGGTCACTCTCCATCTGCCTTACTTTCTTTCCCCTCCTCTTTCCCATCATTCTACCCCTTCACCTGTTTCAACACACTTCCTCTTTTTTCTTTCGAGCTGTTTTGACTAACTTACACTCGGATTCATTTCTAAAATATTTTCCTCTGCGTGCCCCCCTCTTCCTCCGCTTTCCCTCCACTTCACCAGCTCTTAATTTCAGCTCTGTGCATGCAAGCCGGGTGCATACCGAGCTCTTTAAAATGCCTTACTCTCCGCCTGTAAAGCAGCGCTGGGCAGTTCACACTGTAATTATTCAGCCAATATACTGTGGAAAGGTCACATTCCAGCAGATAACCTCAGTATATCTCGTTATATGGCTGTACTTACCTGCTGCGTTGTGTAAATATAACATCTTTGTTTACAATGAAAAATAGCATGACCATGTTAAGTTAATTGCTTGTGGCTATATATTAGGGGGTTATTTTTTCCAAATGAATCAGTCAAAAAATAAATGGGCAACAAAAAAAAAAGGACAAGAAAAGATAACGACCCTTATAAAAATGGGCGCTTATCCTCAATACGGCCACTAACCGCTGAATCCCACTGACAAGCAAAGTCCATGACCACAGGCAACATTCTAGGGTTTGCAACGTGTCTTTCCTCCATAAACTACATGGGAAATCCGTGAGAAACAACGCTGCCCTTATCTTTAAGGGTGAGGTAAACCGACGATAGCGAAGCAAAAAGCAACCCATCAGACTAAAGCCCTTCCTACTTTTTAATCACACTAAAATACCTCTGAAAAGCAATTTAAGTGTCTCCTCCAAGGGATAGCCAAGGCTGGTTTCTAATTATCTGCGCGTCCTTCTGCGCTCCTGCAGCTTCTAAAGAGCTCCTCTGGTCTTCATGCTGAATGTTTCTTAGAGGATCCTTAAATAAATTTACAATCCCAATGTGGACAAACCACTTAATGCTCAGACGCTCAGCGTGATATATGGACGGGCGAGTCCCACTGCAGGTCGGGTGAGGTGGACGAGGCTGCTCATCGTAAAACACCAATGCAGAGAAAAAAAGTATCTGTTTGGAACTCCTGGCTGTGTAAATCTGTTCTCGTCTTATGGCTCTGATTATGCCACAGAGAAACTCCTGCTCGCCGCTGCATCTGCAGTCCACTTCACGCTTTGAGCCCTTTTTGGCAGGAAAAGAGACGGTGAGTGCCTTTGACTGCTGCCCTAAAAGGAGAGAGCCGAGGCACCAGTTGGCAGTTGTCACTTGTAACTGAGGCTAAAACCGCGCTGGGCTCTTCATCTTGAAGGACGAGGTTCAGAGGCTGCCAGAATAGCTCTGCACTTTCCAGCACTCCGGCAACCCAAGTAACCATCTAATAGAAATGCGGGAAGCGTCTGACATTTCAGTTTTTCCTTGGTCGCAACCCTCCAACCGCCCTCACCCCCCTGTCATTAACTGTGTAGATGGGTGATTTTTATTCCAGATACATGTTGTTCCTGCTGTCCACTGGAGTTGAAACCATACGTTTTTACACACACACACACACACGGTCTACAACGCTGTACAAGTTTGAAGAGTGAAAGACAATTTTCCAGCTCTTGAGCTGATAAAATTTGTAATATCAACCTATGAAGTCCATTGGTGAAGGTCACCGGCTGACTCACTGGATGTACAAGCCTCATTGACTTTGATGGTGCTCCATAGGACCAGCGAGTAGGCCGTTTAAACTGTCGTAAACCTGTCATCTGTCACAATGAGTTGGCCATGCCAAGCTGAACAGACCGACCGCAAATAGAAACAATATGTGTTCCTGGATGAGGGGCACTGAACGACTTTAGTCATTAAAAACATCAAATCAAGTTTTCAACTGAATTCATTTAATGACTCCGAGAGCAAAAACCATGGGCAGCCTTTGCACAGGGTCAAAGGAATGATGAATGATTAAACACTGACTAATGCTCACATTTCCAAATGGCCGATTCTTTCGGAATTGATATTTCCCATAAGGCCTTGGTCCACTGTGCTAAATGTGCAGTGATTCACATGTTCTGAAACAACATGGTGTGTCAATATCCTCCAGGTCTGTGACTTCACTTTGGTTCAGTTTCCCAACAACGATAACCCAAGTGAGCTCTAAAGGGAGTCTAGCCATGCTTAAATGAAACCAATACCGACTAGTGTGGATAGAAGCCCTCCCAATATAAGGCCTGATACCTGAACACTTTCTTTGTAAGTGTGTCTTGACAAAAAGCTGAGAAAATGTCCCCTAAAGAAGCACAACCCCACTCTAAAACATTTCAGAAAAACTCAAAGATGAAAAAAAAGGGAAAACTATAAATAATGGGAATAGTTGGAGTTGGGTGAGCAGTGAGACCGGTCATAATCCCAGCCGACCATAAATATGAAAAGTACACAGCCCCATAGATACCTGTACTTAAAGCCAGCTACAGCACATGTACATCAGCAAATCAACACTGACTGCACAAACATGCCAGCAGTCAAAATTCCATTTCTTCTTGGATAATTCAATTTGTATCACTGAGTGATCACTCCTCAAGATGTTTTACATGCTGAACTTATCATACAAAGTCACTTATAAGGCGCTAGCTTGTAAACGCACGGGGAGCCAGCATGTGGGAGAAATTAGGATGGCCCTGAGGGGTCCTATATCCAACAAGCATTTGGGCTATCTGTCCTTGAGAGCTGCAGAAAGATGCAGCGCAGTGGACTTCATGATGAAGAATTCCGGCTCATGTTGATATATAAACGAGTCGCCGCAGCACAGAGAGAGCGGCCTCCGCATTAACTGAAACCAGACAACGCTGGAATCCTGCGGTGTCATGTTTCCATACCTGCTGATGCTGAGTGTGAGCTGCTGGGTGCAGTTTTTGATCCTGTTCTGAGCCTCCATGTGGGTCATGAGCTCCGTGCTGTCCCCGTTGATGGCCAGGATGGTGTCGCCCGGACACACGTCACCTAGGGCCGCCTTGCTTCCGGGCGTTACCTGCAGATTTCCGTTCCAGGGCGCACACACAGACACATTCGCATCAAAACACAACCAGAAGAAGAGAAGAAAAGAAATGTCACAAGAGGTGCCGGTGATTTGGGAAAAAGGCTTAAAGGAAAAGGATCGTTAGCGTGGGAGCGTCCACAAACCGGCCAAATTCAACAAAAGCAGCCTTCCTACAATTCATGCGATGTTGCCTTAGGCAGGATTTCAGGTCCATATTTTCAAAAGCCAGAAAATGATGACACTGGTAAAATAAGATGCCTGTCCATTTCCTAGGTGGTGACATCTGCAGAGAGCAGGAAACAATGTGCATGTGGATGTGACTTGCCTTTTCAAATTCTTTTGAAAAAAAAAGAAGTAACCATGATTTCTGATTTAATATTCATTTTCAAGCATCCACTACATCACCCCTCTCATCTCTCTGAATTTTTCATCTGACCTTTTCTGTACCCGGAAATCATACAGCCACATCGCTGTAATCTGAACACGTCGGAGAAGGTTTCTCTGATCTTTTGATCCTGCTGGTCTGACGGGTGGGGGGGGGGGGGGTGAGAGCCAGTGTCCCAGTAAGTGGGTTTCACCTTGACATACCAAGGAACATATGAGATCAATTTGACATTATTACACACACACCCCCACCCACACAACAAACGTCTCAGCTATTTCCAGACCTGCCTCCGACTGATCTCAAAGCTTTCGCTGAGAGGAAAAGACTGCTAATCATTTCCACCACGGTTTGAACCGTCATTGTCCTATTGCAGCCAAATGTTCTTTAAACAGCAATGTGACAAAAAGGGAAGGAAACTCTTTTTAGATCATCCAAAGACCAAATCGGGACATCCGCAATCCATGCAGCACATTTCTACTGCTTTGGACTCGCCATAGTCCTTTTAGGTATAACTTATAGGAATAAAACTAAAAAACAAAGAGCAGAAGCAGCTGTAAAGGAAGTGCATAGACTCCATTTAAATCAAGCCTGATATTGACATGTTGATAAGAAAATACAGAAGCATTCATTCATCAGAGGCCAAATATTTCATGATTCAATTACTTAGGTTCCAGAGTATTCTTCTGTTAGGCTGCAGCAACTGTTTGGCCGTCAGGAGGGCCGTAACATGTGACCGGTCAGTCTGTCTCAAATATAACAAATTCTGTGCGCGTCCCAGCAAACATGTTAGCTGTGGGAGGCTTCGTGTCACGCGAATGCCAACGTGTACACCTACAATCTTATGCAATGGGTGTATATATGGGCGAAAAGATTGTGCAGGCTTTCTTTTTCAGTTCCCCAGAGGAACAAAAGAGCAGTATTTGCCTTAGATAAATAAATAAAACGGTCAAACTCTGAATATGGGTCAGACCAGCATTCTTATTGAACAAACAGAGGCGCTCTTAATTTAAAATGAGGCACAAACTAAGTTTTGGCGGCATGTTTTTCTATTGATCTGCTCCTTTTCCCTGGCTTGCAGCTTTTTCAGCGCTACCCTGTTTGAACTCATCTACCCTCATACCAGAGGACCCAGGGCTTGACCCCACAATGTGTTCCAAAGCACCCATCATCCTGTCAGCTGTTGTTGAAAAAGTGCCCAGTCTGCAGACGTGAAATCGTGGCTTTGAATAACACCAACGTGAAGATATTGTTAATCTAATCCAAGGCCTCCTACGATAAGGAAAACGTTGGAGCCCGGGGGAGATGAAGGAGCCGGAGACGAAGGGGGGGGGCAGGAGAAGCCGACTCGCAAAAACTGGGAAGACAGTTTTAAGAGAAAAGGCACACAAGTTCACGCTCCGCCGAGCACTAAATTGCTAAATCGTGTGGTTCAGATGTGGAATTCCTAATTTACAGCTTCTGACCGCCCAAGTGTCCCCGACTCAGTTCCGGTAAACACAGGGGTCAGTGTGAGGTGCATGCCAAGTTAATGTGTGTGTGTGTGTGTGTGTGTGTATGCGCGAGGGTTTCTGGGAAAGCTGCACTCGCTGTAATTTGGCACAAACAACTCTACAAATATAATCTTGTAAATTAAAGATCGAGTCTTTATAAGAAGCAGACGCACAAATTAAGCTTTTCTTAGAGTGGGAAAGGAGCAGATGCCTGTTTGTCAGTTACGGTCCGCCTCGGTCGTTAAGCGCGGCCTCCCCGCTGAGAACGCATTTCAAATGTTTGCAGGTCTTGGATTCGTGCCTGGGTTGTGTCATGGTGGAACAAAGATCGCGGAACACCCCCCCCACCCCCAAACGCACAAGCGAGGGATATCACTTCGGGGCTCCGGCCATGAATAGCAAAGCATGAATCACCCACGCGCGCATGCACACTCATTGGCGTTCCGGCCACCGCAACGGCAGGACTGGGGTTGTCACCGGAGGACAAACATTCCCGCCAACCAGGAAGTGCGGCGATGATGAAGAGTCGTGTGGTTCACACTGAATCCTGGACCTCTCATCTTCTAGCTGTGCGTGGCCTGGAGCATGATGTAATCGCTTCTCTCTGTGGAGCTTTAAAGATAAATTGTCGTACAAACTTTTTGTTTAACCTTGTTAATTGTTCATTCAGCCCCAAAACTGTGCGCGTTCCCTCTCATTTGAAACCGTCAAAAACTTGGATGACGGAGGAGAAACAGAGGACAACGGGTTCCAACTCTGCTGACTCAAAAAGATCTGTCCGTTTCCTCACTTATAGCTAATTTATTTTATGTTGAGACATTCTGTGCATCCCATCCAAGACGGCCCCACAGCATGACATGGCCTTCACCGTGTTGTACTTTACTCTAACTTGATGTGTAACTTTATTCTAATTTAAGCAAAGAGGTGTTCAGGCTAACTCCTCTCTAATACTAAAATCTCATTTCAATGCGGCAGGAATGGTCCAGCTACAATCTCAGCATGTCTAACAACAGGGAAAGAATTGGAGCCAATACGAGTACAAAAGACAGGATCAGGAGACACTTACAAGTGGGACAACTGAAATGGAGGCATGGTAAATCATTTACAGTTTGCCCGGGAAAGGAAAAATAACTTGGTTAGATATTGGTCAGGGTATCTTGACAGAAAGAGAGACTGCAAACTGCAAAGAGAAACTTAAAATTATCTCCAGGTGAGCAAAATAGACATTAGTTGTAAAAAAAAAAAAAACACTCATCCAGCAACTGTGTTTAGCTGGAACTGTTTAATGAGGTAAGAAAGGCAAGACAAGGGTAAAATATCTACCGTCTGCCACCTCCACTGATGTGGGGGCACACTGATGCAACAGCAGACTGGCGGGCAATCTAAACAATCCCTGCAGTCCCATAAGCTATTGCTCCTCAAAAAGTCACCGAGTTGAAGGCAAACAGAGCGTTTAGTAAATCACAGCCTTGTGTGACACGGTATCATCATGTGGTGCAGCGAGGCCGGGTGAGTATGTGCCGGAGTGTGGTTTTAACTGTGGGCATGGGAAAGTGAGACAAAGGCTGAGACCAGAGCTGGCGCACATTCACACACTCCGCTCTAGACGCAATAAAAACTGGATAAAGGAGGCTTTCGGTCGTGTGTAACGACAGCCGCATGGCGAAGTCTCATCGCTGCTTTCACCTGTGTGTCCTGTCTGTTTTCCTTTTATCAAGATTGAGAGGTAAATCATTAAGTTTTGCTCATCCGCTTCCACGTTTCCCCTCTCGCTTCGAATGTGATCGAGTGTTGTTCGCTCTCAAGGACGCTTTCCTTTCGGCTGGGCGGGAGGGCGTCATTCCTGGCCACGGGTCAAACGCCTTTGTTTGTTTACTGGACAAGGCGATAGGACCTTATGACCTTAGTGGCACTTTGGAGAGGCAGTACGTAGGCCGGGGTGTGAGGTTCTGACTGGTGTGCGTTGATCAGCGCTGAGACAAAAGAGCCTGAATCTGCCAAGAGCAATAAATAACACAGCGGCTGATTATTAAACATGAGGGGTGGGAACCCGATGGGAACAGAAGGAAAAGGAAGACTGTAAACTTATCAAACAGTCATTGGAGCTAGCATGCACACGGCCTTGGCACCGGGGACCTGTTACAGTAAGCATGGTCGATAGCTTCCATAATATCCCCAGTTCATTCTCAGCTAAGCATGAAGAGAATGCAGCTCCATCTAAAAGCATTTAACAAAGCTTTTTTTTTGGACATTGAAGTAAATGCTTACTTTGATCATTGTTGAGGTGTTTATCTGATATCTGACTCATGTTCAAGCACTACATACTATGTTACTTAATTAATTTTATCAATTTAAAATGTCAACTTTGAGCTACTTCCTGCTGGATGCAAATTCACTAACCACTGAATGTAAAATGATAATTGTCATGGATAAAAACGGCAAAATGCTTCAACCTGCTGCAGCCTTTTCCAATTGTATATAAAAGAGAAGAGAAGTCCCTGTGACTGGGTCACATGGCCCGTCTTTGGTATGTGGCATTTAAGGACGAGCGTGCAACTTCTGAAGCTGCACGGCTGGATCTCCAAGGGGAAAAGATCAGCCCAACACTGAAATCTAGAGCCCGAGACGTGATCCAGGACCTGGGCGGGCCGCAGTCCATCTGCAGAGTCAGTGTTCGGCTCAGCATGGCAGTCACTGCGGGTTGTCTGTTTAATGTTGTGCTT